AAACAAAGGAAAAACAAAAGAACCCATCAGGGGTTGATCCGAACTCATATTAACATATTAACTGTGGGAAGGTAAAGTAAAAATGATCAAATCGATATTTACTTTGATCACTTCGTCATCATCTGTTCTCCTCGGCACACGTGATCGAACATGTTGGAGAACCTGACCCAGGTTGTATCATGTGTTTGTCCGTCTTGTCTCTGCAGACGGGTCTTTATGACTCTGGCTTTGTGTTTGGGCTCCTCGTTCTGCTGCAGATTCAATAAGACGCCTCAGTGATGGTTCTGGATGATGGAAAAGAACCCAAACACCTGACGCACCTGAGACGTTTGCACAGAACTAAAAAAGACTTATTGTAAAGTAGTTCGTAAGATTGAAGGAATAATAAATGAGTTCACTGTCCAAGCCGAGCTTTTGTCTTCAAGGGACCTTTAAAAAAGGGAATTCTCGTATTTTTGCAGCCACTGCCAGCGTGTCACAGCTACTGGTGGAGGCCGACTGTAAATACCGTCAATTCACACCCCCACATTTATAACCACAGGGCCCAAGGATGAAAAACACCAGAATCCCCCTTTAATGCGTCTTGGGCTCAATAATTTCTGGAAGGATATCTGAGGTGAAACGATTCTGGACTGAGGAGAAGCCGTGTCTTTGTTGTGACTGTGAAAAGTTCAGATATGAGCCTGACGACGAGGCTGAAGCAATAACGAGCTGGATCTGGTTTCTGTTCACGAGCTTATGAATAAGATATGTCAGCTCGGAACAGGAGCAGCTGCTGGAGGCGCCGAGTCGACCGGCGGCGTCCACGCTGAAACTCACGGCTGACCGCCACAGCCCTGAGCCTCAACACCGCCCTGTGTGTGTTTGTGTGTTTGTGTGTTTGTGGTCAGACTCTCAGATTAGAGACTCAGCTCCTGAACACAAAGACACAACTGGAACTTTTCTTTGAAAAAAACCTCCCTTCCTCCAAAACACACAGCTGTGCATTAGGTCACCCAGGCATTTCCAGCCAACACTGATCTACACACACACACACACACATCGGTTGCCGTGGTAACACTCCCACAGCACTTAACACAGCTCGGTCTGAGGTCGATTGGCAACGCCCCCCCGGACCACCAAACATTCAACACTTTCACACAAAACAACACAAAAACAACACACTGTCGATTTCCAATAAACCGTTAATCACAGCAGCTCGTAACACGACTGATAATTATACATCATTTATTGTTGTGAGTGTTTTGCGCAGCTCATTTTCTGGACTGAAATATTCCAATGAAGAGAAAATAAATCTCAAAAACAGAGACGATGAAGAAACATTCAAAAGTGGATAAATAAATGTTGAAATCACTCGTTTATTTCATTTGATTTAAAACTCAGTGATTATTTCTCTGTGTGGTTGTTTTTCATTTTGATGACAGAGTCTAATGTTTCCACAGTAAATTCAAGTTCTCATATTCTCACACTATTTGATTTACTGCTTCGTGTGATTACAAACATTTCCACTCACAGAATCAGTTTCATCAGTGGATTATTTGTAATCACTGTGAAGGAGTAAAGGGACGAGATGGAGAGATGTTAAACATCATAGCGTCCGGACCCGGGGGGAGTGAAGACATGTCAGTGCCGTCCATCACCCATCAGATCAACCTTGCTTTTAATTTGTTATCCTTCATAAAGTCTTATAATTACAACTGAGAGTAAATCATTCATTCACGTTAACATCCTCCACAGTGTTTTGATGTTTCATCACTATTTGATCCCGTTGTTATTTATTGAGTCAAACTTTCACTTAATCAACCAGATCCGTTCTTTTAACCCTCAAATACTCTCGTTCATCTCTAACTGAGCAAACACCGATGTTCACATATTTCAGTTTAGTGAGTTCGAAAAATCATCAACACGCCAACTCACTGATCGTGAATCTTCGGGATCATCTCCGGCTCATTCGAACATTCTCAGGAGCTTTTTACTCTGGAGATTGTCCGGAGTCTGACTCGGCCTTTTGTGTTCTCACGTAGAGCCCCTGTGGAGAATGTCAGGAGACTTTTCGGAGTTCAGTGCAGAAGATTCAACAAACAGTTTTTTTATTTCTTGTATCAAATTTCTTTGTGAATCATTTTAAACTCCGGTTGATCTCTCTCCTCTGGATCCTCTCCTGTGTTTCACGGCTCTGTTCCCTCTTTCCTCAGCGAGGCCGATGTCACTGTTTGACATGTTTCCCAGACAATCTGATGAACCTGAGTCTGGTCCTGAAGGTTGCAGATCCAGTCTCGGCTCTCGGCTCAAATCATCCCCCTCCCGCGTCCGCCCCGTCAGTCTCTCACCACAGTAAACACTGCCAGCTGTCCCATAAAGACGGCACCAGGCGCAGCCGACCCAGTCCAGACAGATGAGGGAATGGATTCAAGGTGAGTGACGTCAGGGAGGAACACGAGGAGGCTGAAGCTGGTAGTTTGCTGGAGGCGGAAAGAATGTCTCAGGAAAAGGTCTTTGTTTCAGCAAAACAAACTTTAAAGAATAAATAAATAACCAAGTGTGGAAAATACAGACTCACTCAAAGTTACAAGGTGAATATTGGACTTTGATCATTTTCCTTCTCTGCCAAAGCAGAACTTTGTTTTTTCTCACTTCCTCGTCCCGACAGCATTTTGCTGTCAGATGTTGAGATAAAGAAGACGACCTGGTGAGATCATGTGTTCACTGTTTCCCCAGCGATGCATTTAAAAAAATACCTGAGAGACTGCGCAACTCGGCAGCAGGATATGAAGTCTGAGCGTCGGGTTTATAGAACCTCAGAGAGTCTGATCACATCCGCAAAATAAACTCAACTCTGACGTCAACTTTTCCAGAGGTGAAGGTGAGAATGAATCAGCTCCTGACTCCGATTCCACTCTGGCTGTCGACTGTTTTCTTTATTCTGCACAAAATCACTTGGATCAACACATGAAGCTGAACTCAGGACCAGGAGCTCCACAGAAGCTCGTAAACGTCTCTGAGGCAGCTGAAGGGTCAAAGTTCAGATTTTTCGTCAGATCACTCTGAGAGTTTTAGCTCAGCGGAAAAGCCTGAGGTTAAAGGTCATGAATTCAACGCAGAGCAAAGCATCATGGGAAACATCCTCCTCTGTGATGGATGAAACAGTTCAGTGTGTGTGTGTGTGTGAGGAAATCTGCCACCTGGTGTAAATATAGCAGCACTGCATGTTGAAAACCAGAGAAACAAAATGAGTTCATACCGAATCTTTATTATGATTCACTTGGTTTGAACCCAAATGATTAAAGTTTGTTCAACTTAAAGTTGAAGTTATGACACAAGTGATGACATTCATTTGAAAAAACTAAATTCAATTGAATTTTTTGTTTGTGCATTCCATCATTTTTTGCCTTTTTATAAACATTTTCATCAAACATCCATCCAGTAAAACATGATTTAT